AGAGTCGCCCCACCCCAAAGTCACTGAGGGGACAGACCTAGTTCTCAGGCTATTAGGGACAGTGCTCAAACAGAGACATAGTCATACTCTTTCATCCCAAGGTCATCTTGGGAGTAAAGACAGGGCTGAAGGACTCAGATGTGGATAACCATAATCCCAGCTGACATCCCAAAGGATGAAAGAACAGGGACCAGGGGCTAAGAAACAGCAAATCCACTGCCCTTCTCACTAGGCATTTGAACAGGATGGTCCCAGTCTCTGTAACCAAAGAGCCCTCCCAGTTCCTATGGTTTCCAGCTCTGGACTGCCCCACCTTTCCAGGAACCGAGCCCTCACTCCCCGAACCTGCATCTGCATGGACTCCTTGACTCGAGGAGGTACATGGATGTCCTTGATCTCATAGCGGAGGCAGCGGATACCCCAATAATCAGAGGCCTGATTGATGGCATCCACAATGCTGGCATTCAGGGATTCTCGTTCCTGGTATGGGGGAAAGACTATAGGTAACACCTTACCCCACTGGGAGCCCTGTCCTACACAGCAGAGCCAGGCAGACAACCTGACACCCTCCCTTGACTCCCCCTCACATTATCAAGCCACCAGGGGAAGACTAAATAGAGGAAGGTATGTAAAAAAAGGCACCTCTACCCTCTTACCCCCAGTGACCAAAAGCTGTGAACTGACTTCACTCACTCGGAAAACTTTATCCAATGAGAGCTTTCCAAGCTCACTTCTCATGGTTGTCTGGGCCAGCTGGGTGACTGCATATTCTGGATCTTCTACACCATAGCTCGCCTAAGGAAAGGTTTGTGATAGGGAATATGACATCCTAAGATGAGGAGTCACAAAAATTACCCACAAATTTGGAAGTAGGAAGTTACCTTGTAAGGGTCCATGATGCGCAAGTAAAGAACTCCATCAATCTGTAGTGTCACATTGTCTAGGGGTAGAGGAGAGGAGGTCAGGGTCTTCAGGCCTTCAGCCTCTAACCCACAGCTCCACGTTCTCCCTAAAGCACCTCCTTCCCTCCCTGCTGTACCCTTCCCCCCTTCATTTCACTTCTTTCTTCCCTCCTTCGTCTCCCCTATTGTGACCTCAGCTGCTCCGCAGTTCTCCCATGTTCATCATCATATATATTCACATGTTCATTAAGAGTTGCCCATTCATATGTCCTTTTACTCAGTTACATGCATGCATAAATATAGAATAACAGTGGCTGTTCTCTTTTGAGCCTTGGCACCCTCCTTGTGCCTCTTGCCCAAGGAAGGGTGCCCTCCTCACCAAGGGTTACAGCTGACTGTTCGGGTACATTGATGACAATCTCCTTGAGGCTCTGTACATATCGGATTCGATCCAGCACAGGGATTAGGATGTTCAAGCCCTGGTTAAGGATGGAAGGAGGAGTCAGGGGGCCTTGTAGGAATGAAGACCCTGAAGGAACGGTCCCTAACCTAGAGCATTTGGTCCTCAGATGCTTCCAGATAATCCATAGGTGTTGTCTGTTCCATTAGAAAGTGAGCTCCTTGAAAGAAGAGACTGTCACACTTTTCTATTTGTATCCCCATTTCTTAGTATAGTTCTTTGCATATAGTAAGTGCTAAATAAATGCTTTATTCCTTCTTTCATAATCAATGCTTCCCCCAGCTATTTTCCAGGAGTAAAAGGGAAGGAAAAAGGGAAATCTTACCGGTTCCAAAATACGGTGGAATCGACCCATCCGCTCCACTACCCATGCCTCTTGCTGGGGCACAAACAGTACAACTGTATTTCTGGGTAGGCCTGAGGCTGTACGGTGTTGACTGGGGCCCAGCCAGGCTCTGGGACCCTGGAGGAAATAACAATGGATAGGAAGGTATAGAAAAAGAAGATGGGGAGAGTAGGTAAGGAGGAGATTAGAGGTTGGGGACAGCAGGAATCAGATGGGAAAATAACTCATGAGATGGCAAGGTACATTACTGAGAGGGTGGGAAAAGGTGAGTGAAGTTTGCAGCAGAGGGTTGTTGTGCCAGTCAGTGCAGGACGAGAAACGGACACGGAGTGGGATGGTAACAAGAGATGGAAGAGTACGGGTGACAGTGTGACAAAAAGGAGATACAGGCTCACAAATTCATAAATTTTTGGCAGGACCTTAGAGTGCAACCTTTTTCTAAAAAGATGGGGGTGAAGGCATAGGAAAAAAGTAGACGGGGGGGGGCTGCAGGGATGGGAGAAACAAAACAAGGGACACGGGGGTTACAGCAGGGATCCTGAGTATGTAAGAGAAAAGAGAGGAGGTGAGGAATGGCACATGGGAGGCAGAAAAGTGTGAGAGGCAGGGCTGGTGGCACAGGTGGACGCAGGTACGGCAGAACAGGGGCCGGAGAGGCCACTAAGAGCTGTAGCCGTCTAGGGAGAACATCGCCCCCCCCCCCCCGCTCCTCACACACGCCTCCACTCAATCCCACGTGCATGGGGGTGATCTTTGACCCCCTGGTTCTTCCCTTAACAGTCACATATCCCGCCCCCACCTTCCCCAGGTAGTAATGGGAAGAGAGGTACGACCTCTGCCTCCGCTCCCCCGTGATCGTGACCCCACTACTGGGAAAGACCTCAGAGAGAAGGATCAGCCTCTTTCTCACCTTGAGCACGAGGCCCCTGGCCCCCCGCGCCACGCGGACTAGCATCTCCCACCACCGCCACTGCCACAACCTGACCTCCGGAACCAATGAGACTAGGCCTAGAACGGCGCCTCCCTGGTCCCGGAACGCGTGCACCGTCTGATACGCCCCCTCCGGAAACACTTCCTTCTACCGCTTGGTCTCGGAGCCAATCACGGACGCTCGACAGTGCAGGGTTCAAACTCTTCCCCGAAAAGCAAAATCCCTACCGTGACGGGTTCCGGGACTTACTCCTACCCCTCGCTGTTGATCCCTGTCTCAGACTTGCAAGCCCCAACGGAGACAGTTCTCTGGTTTCCGGCCTCATTTGAAGAAGTGTACAGGTGACCTGGAAGGTCAGACGCCTGCATTCTTTCCCTAACCTTTCTCCAAACCTCAGTTTACTCGCCTGGGCCTCTTGATATTGTTGGGGAATGGGGGAGGGGATTGAGGACGCTATGGCGTCCCAGAGAGGCGCTATTTCGTTGCCATAGTAATGGCTTCTTCAGGGGCTGACCGATACCCCTCCCCCACTACCAGTGACTGACCCGGTTCCCCGTTGCCGTAGTGACTGGGCAACCTCAGTTACCCTGGTGACTGGGTCTTGGCTTCGCCTCGCCCCTGGGCTTTCTCTCACCAGAGACAGGGAAGAGCCTTGAGGACCACGCTGGCTCTCCAGATATAGAATCCCCCTTTAAGCAAAAAAGCCAAAACAAAACAAAACAAACAAACAAAGAAAAAAACATGGAGCTGATATCCATTTTCCGTAAGTCCATGTACTGGATTTCCACTTTTTCATTATTTGTCCTGGCGTAATTTAACCAATCGTTCACGTTTGGATTTTTCCCACTCTTCTTTTGTAGCCACTAAACTACCAAATCCTGTTGATTCAGCCATCTCTTGAATCTTTCCCTTCATCTCCAACACCTCTACCCCCTCTCTATTGCTAGAGCTTCCTGCCAGGCCTTCCACAATCTGCACATTATATTGCTAGCCATTTTTCTTCTACTACTCCACACAATATGATCTGTGCTCCTAGAACCTAGACCCTTCACTGCTTCCAGTAAACATACACTTTTCCACATTATTCATGTTGTTCCCTATTCCTGGAATGTTATACTCCCTGCTGAATTCTTACCCATCATTTAAAGCCATTCAAATATCTATTCATTTAAGCCTTTCCCTGTGTTCTACCCTTCCCACCCTCAAGTTGGTTTGCCTTTCCAGTTTTATTTGGCTCAGAGCATCCTTAGGTGTTTGTTATTATTGTCATCTGTCCCTACTTGATTTTGAGCTCTGTGTGGAACATTCAGAAGGATGTGTTTATATTTCTGTGTGACTGAAGAGCAGTACAGGGGACCGTGGTATTAAGGAAGACAGGAACTCAGGAGTCAGGAAGGCAAGGTCAAATCCAGCCTCAGACACTTGTTAGCTGTGACCTCATTTGTAAAATGGGAATAATAATAGCACCTACCTCCTAAGGTTGTCATGAGTATCAAATAAGATAATTGTAAAGTACAGTGCATGGCACATAGTAAGCACTATCTAAATGTTATCTATTATTGTTATTATGGGAGTGGAGTTGACCCCTCCCCTCAAGTACCTTTCATAGTTTTACACATAGTAGTTTTACACATCTACACTTGGGAACTAGCTTCCAAAAATTAAGACAATACTTACTCCAGGCATGAATGAGGGCAAAGAGCCAACAGTAATTATGCTCAGTCTAGAAGCTCAGATTTATTAATGTTAAGACCCTGTGTAGACAAACATGGCAGGGTTTGGAGTAATCCCCTCCCTCTAACACTAAAGTTAGGTGGTTAGAGTGGATAGAGTGCTGGGCCTAGAGTCAGGAAGGCCAGAGTTCAAATGTCATCCCAGACATTTATTACTTGTGTGACCCGGTGTAACCTGCCTGAGTTTCCTCAACTGTAAATTGGGGATCATAATAGCACTTATTTCAAAGGGTTGTTGTGAGGATCAAGAGGTAATATTCTTAAAGTGTTTAGCAGAATGCTTGTCACATAGTAGACCCTATATAAATGCTAGCTATTATGAAACACTCAATCAAGGCCTTCCAGAGATAGGTCCTGTCCCATTTCTTCCCAGCCTTCAAATATGTTTACTACCCACCTTATGATCTTGAAAAATTAATTTCATCACTCTAGGCCTACTTCTTTTATAAAATGGGGGAATTAAAGTAGATTTTTCTCTCTAAGGCCCCCTTCTAACATTATGAGTTATGCTAGGAAGGCACCCAAGCCCTGAAGAGTTTCACAATATATCTGCCCTTGACCAGCCTCTTTCATTCTTCCAAGGTCTGTATTCCCCACTCAGTCTCCATCAAAAAGTGTAATGCTCAAGTCATGTTTCCAAACAAAAATTTATTAAATTTCTTTTTCTTTTCTTTTTTCTTTTTTTTTTTTAAGAAAAGTACCAGGTACAATTTATTCCTCTGATTTTCAAGTTTCTGCAAATGCTTGTTCCCCTAAACTCATCCCCAGGAGGCAGGGCTGGGGCTGGGTCAGGGTCCAGGATAGGGTACAGTCCAGGGGGAACAAACAGCCAGGAACCACAGCAACCACAACACAAATGTGCAGGGGCCATTCCTCCCCCAAGCTGAGGTAGGCGGGTCAGAGTCCAGAGCTCTGCCTCTCCCCAGGCAAGAGGTGGGAAGGAGGAGAGCCCTAGTTCTTGGCCCTGACTCTGCTCCCCTAGCCATGCCTCTTCTGCTCCAACCTCCACACACACACACACACACACTCTTCACTCAGGACTCCAAGGATGGGAGAAGCAGATGATGGAGGGGGAGGAGCACGTTAGAGTGTAGAGCCCACCTTCACCCTCATTACTACACACATACACATGCATACATACACACACACTTAACACACAACATACATTTGGTTTCTGGCAGGCATCATGGGGCAAGGGAAGGGAGAACAGGAAGTAGGAAAACTAGGTCTTTGGCTAGTGACCCAGTCTCTTCAGGATAACACCTCTACTCTGGCCCTCAGGCACATGGAGTAAGGCCACCCCTATACCATTCTGCTATACTCTCCTCTTCCTCCTAGCCTCACTGCCCCTAACTAAGAGAGGGCAGCTCTATTCCCCTTAACAGAGATCAGTCTGCTGAAAACTGGAGGTTAGGGCAGTATCTGAGATGGGTGGAACAATGTCAATTCTCAGGTTTTGGAGGTCAACAAAGCCATCCCAACTGAATAAATTATAAATTAACAATAAATAAAACAAGAGGTGGCCCCCACCCAGGATGGGAAGGGAATGTTGAGTGAAGGGTGATAGGCCTGTGTTCCCAACGTCTACAGAACATGGAGAAGGCCCCACCCCCTACAACTCCAGACATCAGGGAAATTTCTCTTCTTCACCATCAAGGGTAGTGGCTGGGAAGCCAAAAGGGAGGGGAGACAGTGTGTGTGAACCTGGAGCAGGGCATTAATTAGCTGGAAGATGGAGAACAGGAGTTCCAAACACCAAATGGTCAATACTTCAGCCTTGAGTATAGCTGTCCCTTTAATTCAGGCCTGGAGGACCTGCCTCTCTCTCCAGGCCCACTGAGTCCAAGATGGAGTAGGCCAGTGTCCTTGGAAAGGCCTGAAATTATCAGGGAAGTCAGGGCAAAGGTGAATAACGAGGATTTTGGGGGGCCTCTGTCAAGGCCTGCAGCTCATAGGGGAGCCCTGTGTCTAGTTCCAGGCTTCGGCGGGAGAAGAGGAGGCGGATGTCCCCATGTAGGTACAGCCTGCCAGAGCGAGAACTCCGGAACCTGTTGTAGGCATAAAGGATAGAGAACCAGATGAGAATCCACACAGGGAGGAGGCAAAGTGAGGTCTGGGACAAGACAAAATGATTGGATTGAAGAAAAACAGATGATGAAGAGGGAAAGAAAAGAATTGGGGAAGAGATATGAAGATAGAAAGGGAAATTATATCTAAGAATGCCTGGAATCAATCAAGGTAGGAAAGACCTGAGTTTTGCCAACTATATCCTTGACCCCTCCCTACCTGAGGTGCAGCAGGTAGCAGAGGAGGCGGCGAGTGGGGCTCACGCTGCCCTCCTCACCCACAGGCACCAGGAAGAGTCGGTGGCGAAGGAAGGTCACATGGGCAGCAGGCATGTCCGAGAAGTCAAAGGTCACAAGGAACATCTTCACCACCGTCTGGTTAGGGTTAAATAAGGTCTGGGGGGGTAGGGGGAGAAGGGTCAAGAAAAATTCTAGGGGGCCATCCCACCATCCCCTCCCACACTAAACTCCACATTGTGAGGCTGAGAAGGGCCTGCTGCCACCCATCTTCTCCCCACGGGGGCAGACTCACCACTTGAACGGTGCCCGCCTTGGGAACGCTATAGCCCTTCCTCCCCAGAGGGTTCAGGTCCACGACGCCCTGGGGATTCCAGAGGAGCCATGGAGCCATCAGCTAAGACCAAGGTCCCCAGGAGCCCCCCAACCTCTTATTCTTAGAACCCCTTCCCTCCTCAAAGCCATGAGCTCCATCCCTTTCCAATCACCAAAGCTCTTAACCCCAGACCTATCCATTAGATTTCAAAGGGAGGGGAAAGAGGGGAAAATTTGGCAAAAGCTGATGATTGTCCTACCACTCCCCTCCTTCCTTTCCCCTTTCCCCTGCCTCCCCATAACCTTCCAGAGACTGTAAAACAGGATCAAGCAGTCCTTACCAGGAAGGGGGCAGGGGCACTATGCTCAGAGACATCAAAGAAGGTGACAGCAACAGGCAGGGTAACATGCTGGGGACAGTAAGAACCACTGGCCCCAATCTCAGCAGTGAAGCCCTCAATGTGGCCAGATGGTACAAATCGACCTCGAAGCAATGACTCCTAGATGTTAATAAGGGACAGTGTATTAAAGGAGGAAAACCAATCCCTTCCCCCACTTCCTTACAACAATTTCCCTAGGGACCTGTCCCGATGGGAATCTCTCCCCTTACTAATCCCCCTCTCTCCCACTTCACACCTGGTGCCTTTCCAGAACCCAAGGGAGTTCAGTACCTCAAAATTGCCTAGCAGGGTGCGGCTGATGGCAAGGGTAGGAACAGGGGGGGCACTGGGAGAGATCAGCAGGCCTGGCCCCTTCCGGAAGCTTCGTAGGGAGCTCCTTAATAGGGGGAGAGGAAAAGGATTATTCAGGAGTCCTCTTTCCCCCCAGCTTCTCTCCTTACCATCTTTTCTATACAACTAGAGCATCTCCAGGGAGCATCCATCCCATCTCCCTCCATCCCCTGGGGCTTACTGGACCAAATACCCATGACCATCTGCAGAAAGAAAAGGAGCAACCTTGTGCCTGGCTAGCATGGAGATGGTATAAGAAATGAGGTCAAACACTCACAGTTTTAGACGTCGGGCACCTTTCAGCCTTCGCCCTGTAGGACTGCCGTCTGCCAATCCCTGCAAAGGACAGGAAGAAGAAAGGAGGGCCAAGACTGGTAAGAGGAGGGGAGTCAGAACTAGGGGTGAAAGAGGGAGGTGGGGCTCAAAGGCAAAAATTCCCATTCAGGACTGCTCTGCCTAAACCAAACTAACATTATCCTCAGAGAGTGAGGGTATTAGGAGGAAACAGTCAAGGTTAAAGTATGAAGATGAAACAGGACCTAGAATATCTGCAGTGGACGTGTGGGCAAGGGACAGGACATCAGTCCAGCCCTTTATCCACAAAATTCACCCAAAGGGACACTAGTTCCAGAGGAAAGTCCCGTGTGGTTATACATAATGGCTTGCTTATTTTTATAGGGCTAGATGGATTGGATTAGAGCAGCACTCTCTAACCGAATAAATAGAGGGTGGCTACAGGACAAACTGTAGCTACACGCTTCTTTTCCAGCCCAGAGCTCACCTGCATTGACTCCCTGGATACGGGCAGCAGGTGGTTCCAGAATGGCGCAGCTTTGGCATCAGTACTTCGGGCAGCAGGGGGAGGGCCAGAAGGAGCTGCCCTGTGCCTTCGGGGGGCTGGTCCCTCATCTCCAGAGTTGGCATCAGGGGCCTCTCCAGCTGGGAGCAGCCGCCGCTTGGCAGGACAGGGCCCTGGGGGGGCTGGGCCTGGGGGAGTATGCTCAGGGCTGTGTCCATTGGCAGTGCCAGGAGGTTCCCCAGGCCAGGAGCTGCTCCCATTGCCCATCTCACGTCCTGGGTCCTCTTCCCCTTTCTGTGCAAGACTGTGCAAATCAGCATCAAGTATGTGCAGCTGGCCAGAAGGTACCACTGGCCCAGGGGCCTCACCCAGACCCCCCTTTCCCCCAGGCTCTGGGGGGCCCCAGTCTCTGGTGTGCAAAGTGCTATAGGAAGCATGTGGTAGAGGCCCAGGGGAAATCCAGGCCCCAGCAGTCCCAGGTGGATTTGGGCTGTCCCGATGTTCGACAACCTGGAGGCCACGGTGTGAGAAGTGCTGGCCTGCCCCTCCAAGCCCCAGGCTGAGCCCAGCATCCAATGGCTCTACTGTGGCTGGCTCTTCAAGGGTCTGCCCTTCCCTGCCCACTATTCCTGGACCTCGCTTTGCCTCACGGACACCTTCAGTAGGGGGTCCTGGCCTCTTCAGGGCTCTACGGGGTTCAGGAGGGCTGGCCAGAGGGGAGAAGACAGACACCTGGTAGACTCCCTGGGACACAGTCCCTCCTGCTTGGCTGAAACCCATGAGCAGCCCACCCCTCCGGCCCCCCTGCCCAGCTCGGGGCTCTGAGGGGCCAGGTTCAGGGGATGGAGTTGGTTCCACCTGCACGTGGCGCATGGAGTTCCCCTCAAGTCAGAGCAGTTCCCCCAGGAGGCCTTTGCTTTGGGCCTGGGCTGGGGGTCCTGGGCACATCTGGAAAGTAAGAGGAAAAGGGAGGGAAGTTACTATCCTGTGGAGTGTCCCAGATTTACTCCTTGAATTGCCCCTTTAATCCACATCTATATCTTTGGTCTTTCACTTGGACTTTAGGCCTACACACCTAGCTGCCCAAAAGACCTCTCTACACTAAACAGACCTAAAATAAAATTAATCTTTAGCCTGAATTTCTTACTCTTTCTCATCTTCCCCATTTCTTTCCATGGCAACAACCTCGTCCCAATATCAATGCTAGAAATCTACTTGACATCTTTACCTTTATCTCTTTTATCTAATCTGGCACCTTTTCATCTTTCCTTCCTCAAATTTGACCTTTCCTCAATATTCCGAGGAATACCAATCTAGCAGCCTACCTTATCTTATAATTTATTGATGCAATAGCCCCTTACCAAGTTTCCCTGCCTCTAGTCTCCTCTCATTCCATGCTGCTTTCTGACAACCCTTCCTAAAACACTGTTTTCATCATGTCACTCCATGATCAAGAACCTATGATGGTTCCCTGTAGCCTCCAACATCAAATCCAAACAGCCTATCACAGCCTTGGCTCTCTTTTCCATCTCTATCCAACTTTATCTCTCCCCAACACATATATTACAATCAAGCAGAGACAATCTATTTACAGCTTTCCTTTCTGCTTTCTTGCCCTCAATACTTGCTCTCATTTTACAGCATCATAAGATCGTAGATTTAGAGCTGGTAGGGACATGGAGGCCAACTCCTTCATTTGGCAGAGGACAGAGAGGCAGAGGACAACTCCTCTAAGGTCACTAAAGCTGGTGGTAAGGCCAGATTTAAACTCAAGTCTTCCTGACTCTAAACTCATTGCTGTATTATCTATTGCTCCACCTAACTGCCTTACTTTCCACCTAGCCAGAAAGCTCTTCATCTTCTTCTCTACCTACCCAATTCTTAGACTTCTTCAAGATCAGATCAATACTCATGTCTACAAAACCTCCCCAAATTCACCGTATCCTATAATGCACCTTCCTTACCCCATTCAGCATACAGCTTGTGCCACATTTCTCATCATATTTTTGCCTATGGATTATCCTATATTTGGTCTTAGTTGTTTCATCCATTAATACTTTTTTTCCCCTAACTAAATTCAGTACAATTCAATATTTATTAAGCCCCTACTTTGTACAGGACATTGTGCTAGGCAGTCTGGTGAACACAAATATTTAACAGACACGGTCTCTACCTACCCACAATGAGCTTACAATCTAGTTAGGAGGGGGAGGAAATGATAGCGTAGAAATAAACATAAGACAAGTTAGACTATAACTGCTATGAGAATGCAGAAGGAGAAGTTATTTCCTAGGGTGGGATATATGTGTGTGTGTGTGTGTGTGTGTGTGTGTGTATGTGTGCGTGTGTGCGCGCGCATGCTCGTGCTCGAGAATGGCAAATCAAGGAAGGCATCATAGAACAGCTAGTACCTAAACTAGGCTTTAATGGAGGGGAAGGATTTTAACAGAGACATGGAGTATGGGAAAGGAGATATAATGCATGATAAGCACAGTGGACACTGTGAACAAAGGCAGTGAGTCAGAGAACAACAAGAATGAGTTTAGTAGGAGGGAATGGTACATAAAAAGAAATAATGGAAAACATGACCAGAGAAGATGGTTGGGGCCCAATCTGTGAGGACCTAGAACACCAGGATAAGGATTTTAATGAAGAGCCCTGAAGATAGTGTTTCAAGGGCAGAGGGTATGTCTTTCATTCTTCCTGCATCTCTCCTAGTCCTTAGCATAGAATAAGGCAGGCAGAAGATGTTGGTTAGGGTAGAAATCCCTCACAACCCTCCCCTCCTTGTGCCATCAAAAGCCAGTAACAACATCCTGTTACTCCAGTTTGTGCCTTTTTATATGGTAGTATCCCTACCTAGGAATGTCTTTTCTACTCCTTTCTACTAATCTAAGTGCATTATATCTCTTCAAATCTAAGTAGAAATTCACCACCTTCAGGAAGCCTTGATTAATCCCACTTCCCCATTACTCTTTATGTACTTCAGTCATTGAGAAGATCATCCATAGCACAGACAGGTCCCAGTTAGTTTGAATAATGAATTTTCCCCAGACGTGGTTCCATGTATTTGAATCCAAACTTACTAGAAGTTATAATTATGTAAAATATACAACTGGTTTTAATCCAACGGATTAGAACCAATATGCAGTATGAATTTAAATAATCCAACCAGTTGGGGGGTAGGAGTGGGAAGAGGAGGAATCATCACTTGCACTTATAAGGACCTGGATTTAGATGATCTTGTACTTGATGCTGTTTTTAATTTTTCTCCAGTTTCTTCCTAAGTCCAGTCTCTCCATCTAGACTAGAAATTCCTTGACGGTAAGCACTATGCCTTTTCTGTACATATCCAACTCCACACTTAGCAAAAGGCTCTCTTCATACATATTAGATAATCAGTAAAAAGGGAATTGGCCTTGTCCCAGGAGGATTTTCAGAGTGAGGAAGAAATCCAGACCCTGTCCTGGAGGAGAAAGATAACTTAATTTGAGTGTCTATCCATCCTTCTGAGACCCAGCACTCACCACGCTGCAGGGGGGCCCTTGCCTGGCTCTCTAATCCCCCTTTCCAACTGCTCTTGTCCACTAGCTGGTAGTCTGGCCCATGCCCACTCCACTGGCACAGTCACTGCCACCATCCCGGGCAGCTCCTTGGCTCAAATGGGACGCTAAAGAGAAAAGCAGAGAGATGAGTCAGGATTCATGTCAAGGCCACAAGGCCATGTTCTCTTTAACCCAACCATCCCTCCCTGGGAGAAGTAAGGAATTCCCAATGACTGCCCCCAAACTGGATTTATTTAGGTTATTGAAGATAACATTTAGAGGGATATGATAACTATCTTTAAATAGGTGAGGGATTGTTATGTGAAAGAGGGATTAGATTTATTCTAATTCCAAAGACCAAACTACGAGCAGTAGGTGAAAGTTTCAAAAAGGCTGACTTTGGTTCAATAGAAATAACTTTCTAACTAGGGCTGTCCAACAATGAAACAGCCTCCCTTACTGGGACAGTGATTGAAGTTAAAGCAGAGACTGAATAGGCACAGGTAAAGGGATTCTTGCTAGTGGAACTAGACTAGATGACCCCACTAAGATCCCTTCCAGCTCTGAGATTCTATGCCCAGTTCCAGTGGTGACTGGTATAATAACCAAGCCTGTCTTCGCCTCAGTTTACCTACACCCCTGCTAAGCCCCCACAGAGAGAAATACTAGACAGAGGCAACACTGTCCCGATATCTGGTTCCTCCCATCAGTCTCCAAAAAGAAACTCCATATCTGGAGCCCCAAGGCCATAGAGAGATCGATTGATTCTACTACCCCCCCCACCCCCCACTTCCCAAGTTGCAAATCTCCATCCAGTTTTCTTCCTTTCCTAACCCCACCCCCACCCTTACTCCCTCCTCTCAGCCCCAGCCAGGGCCCGGGCTCCTCCCAGTTAGACCCTACCCTTCACTTCCCCCACTGCCTTCACTTAGTTCCCTGGCTCTCTAGGCCAGCACTCTGGCAGGCAAGCTGTCTCCAATAGGCTCTCAGGCAGCCTGGCTCTTTAACAGGAGGCTCAGTTCCCAAGAAGAAAGAAGTTGGGGTGGGGGGAGGAGTGGATTTGAGGGAGCTAGGAAGGGCAGTCCTTCCCAGGGCCTGCCCCTCCCCCCAGGGCACTGTAAACCAAAGATAAGGCAGCCACAGAAGAGGGCAGCAGCACAGAGCTGCTGCCATAGGCACCTAAACCCCGCCCCCTTACTTCAGAGGGGAAAACCTCCACCCCACCCCAAAATACTCATACACAAACTCACACAAACAACTTCAACTCTGAAGGTGGGTTCTTTATTCCAGGACAGCTGTGTTTACTCTCTAGGAAACAAGCAGCATACTAAACGCAATTTCACACTCACTAATTTGTCCCACATGTACTAGACCCACACCCACCCTCAGCCCCACCACCTCGCCTGAATAAATCCTTCACTCAAGCACCCATTTGGAGGGAGGTGTTTAAGGAGCCTCTTGGAATAGGCACCAGGAATAGGAACTGTTTCCCTTCAGGTAAGGCAGAACTGCCCACCAATTCCATTTGTTCCTAACACAGGTTATTTCTCTCCACTGGACTCTATCTACCCAGAGTTCCCTTCTCCTTCTACAAGTGTGCCTGTTCTACCTCTCTTCTCTACCTTTCCAGACCTTATCCCCGAAGTGAGGTGAAGCTGGGATCCATCGGACCATTGAAAAGGCCCAGGGTTCAGATCAGGGGGACTTGACCGTCCCTGGAAGGCACTGGTGAAAGGAAGTGTAGAAGGAGGAAAAATCACTATGGACTAGTGTCAAGAGTTTTCATGGATTAGGTGGATATTGAGCTGGACTTTAAATTATGGGTAGAGTTTCAATAAGTTCCTTAACTACTCCACCACACAAGGTCTTTTGGAATCTCAAAGTTCTCTCCTTAGCAAAATTCAGGATTTTACATTTCTGGAGGGGTACGGGTGTCTCCAAACTAAACTTCGTGTTTTCTTGTTTTCTCTACTCTGCCCTCCCTTCCCCCAGCCTAACACACCGCATTCACAAAGAAGATGCTAAATGAATTGTTGAATTCTTCTCCACCCAGCTAACATATGCCCTGAGGAAAATGTCCTCAGCCTTCTTCCCTACAGCAATTATTTCAGGTCACACCCCCACCCCCACTCAGCTTCTGACCTTCCAGGGACTCGGTGCACTCCTCCTGGGGAAGCCGGGTGATGACATGGTGCCCCAGGTGACCCCAGCATTCTTGGCATCTGATCACTACCTCAGTGCCCTTTGGAGTACCAGACCCTTTAACAAGAGGTTCCTGCTTTTCTAACCATGGAGCCAGTCTGGATGTAGACCAGGACTCTAAGCTGACTCATAAGGCCGCTTGGGAAGGGTTCTTCTGTGTATGGGAGAGGGAGGATGGGATTCAGTGGAGAGGCATGGACCTCACCCTCTGTGCAGGAGGTGGGAGCCCAGAAACACCAGCTGGTGTCAAACAGCTGTGCCAGTCTGTGTGGACTGCAAGGACTGCAGCTCCCAGCATGCCATGGGCACGTCACCAAACAAGACTACAAGTCCCAGAACACCATGGGAACAGCACTTTCAGACACCTGCTGGGGCCAAAGTGAGAAGTATTGGGGGAGGGCAGAGCAGGAGCCTAGTCCCAGCCTCTTCCTTCCTTCCCTCTCTTCCCCTCCCCATAAACATTAAACCTGCCCACTTCTGCTCTTGACCAAGTCAGCAAAGAGGGGGAGGGAGGAGAATATGGAGAATGGTTCAGCTACCTAATCAGGCAGGGGAAGCACATATTCAAAGAGAGCTGCTAGTATTTCCCCAGGATCTCTCTCTCCTTCTAGCTAGATGGGATGGTCCCACTCTACATCTTCCTCCTTGCTCCTGAGTCTCCTTCCTTATCCATCTAGACTTAAGACCTTCCACCAACATTCCAGGGTCCCCAATCTAAACTTCCAAATCCCCTATTTCATATGTCCAAGCCAAGTTTCCTAGGCCCCCATCCTCTGCTATTACCCACACACCCCAGTCTCTTTTCCCAGACCAGACCACCATGCCATTTTTTCTCATCCCAGTCCATTCAAATTCTCAGTCCCAGCCCCTAGAGTTGATTTCCAATCCTAACTTTTCTCCCATTCCAACCTCTCTGGTCCTCCTTCATCCTCTTCAGACTAGATCTTACAACCTTCCACCAGGCCTTCTGATTCCTCTGGCTCCTTAGACTTGATCTTGGCAAGTTCTCCCCACCACTGGTCTCTTAGAACCCACTTCCCCCCAGTTGTCCCTATTTAGAGGTCTCCCAGCTGGACATCTGAAACGCATCCTTGCAACTCACCCCGTTCCCAAAGTGTATGAACCGCGGCTGATGTTGTTGCTTCTCCTCCTGGGTCCCCCTCCCCTCTGCTGGCCCCCAACCCAGACAAAGGGTGGATCGGGCTCAGTCTGTGAAGAGGCACGGCGCTAGCGGGCTATGTCCCCGGTACTGGCTCCAGCTCTCACGGCCCCCCCCAGCTGCTGTCGTGCCCCTCCCAGCGCCCGTCCCTTCCCGGGGCCGCCCCGGCTCCGTGCCGCCGGCTCCGCGGCCCCTCTGACTCACAGGCCATTTCCTACCAGCTGATGGGACCGCCCCGCCCAGCACCCCCCAGGCCCAGGGCCCGTCCACTGCACCGGGCACGCCCCCTCCTCCCAGCCACACCCCTTCACCAGGCCACGTCCACGTTCATTGGTCTGTGGGGGGCCGGCCTCCCCCCGACCTCCGTTGCAACCACTTCGTCAGGCACGCCCTCTCCTCCAGTCACACGTCCATTGGTCAGTAGCGCGGCCAGCCTGCCTAGACCAACCCCGCCTCCTACGTTAACCCTTCACCCGCCACGGGTTCCCAGCTGAGTGTTTCTTTCCTACCCACCCTTTACCCTTTTAGGATAAGATAGCTTTGGGGGCACAGAAGTCCTGGGTTCCTTGGAATTTGGAGACCTCAACCCCGCTTCATGGCTACCCAGAAAAGAATGGGAAGTCCCTGAATTTTTCAAGACAGAAAGACCTTCTAAGAGGGAAACCTGCATCCAAGTCCCACATCTGTCTCTTCTGGCCTACTGAGAAAGTTACTTAAACTCTCAGTGTTTCTGGAAATTATAATTAAATTGCAAAACAGTTGCCAATCTTCATTGGTAGAGGGAGTTTCCTCACCTGGAGCTCCTTACACCTATGAAATCATAAGTCTGGACAAAAAAGAAGGCTGATTTTTCTCTTAGGCAGAGCCCTATGCCAACCCGATAGCCTTTTGACTTGCCCCTCTCAGCATAAAGCTTTGGAGCACGTGGATAATTTTAAAGATTTGGTGAATGACCTCAGTGAGCTCCTCTAGATCACACTGACCAGGCTGGAGGTGAGTTTCTGACCCCCAGATGAGGAAAGGAGTCACTGAGAGTAGACCCCACTTGTCTACTCCTTCATACCTCCTTGTATAAAGGATCCTTGTATTTGGGTCCAACTCAGTCCCAAATTGGAAGGGAAGAATGAGGAAGAGGGGGAGGAAAAGGAGGGAAGGGGTATGGAGAATAAAAGGAAAATTTGTGTCCCTGAATCCTCTGGCCCTCATTCCAAGATTAAAATGCCCCAGAGGACCCAAAAGTAACTCCATAACTTGCACTAGAAATCTTGGTCACTGGCCCTGAGGAATGGAGTATATACCTAAATAGTATAGGTTGGGGGAGCAATTGGGGTAGGGAGGAAGAGGGTTCATACCAATATCAAAGCAGAAGGAAACTAGAGAAGCTGCCCAGCCTCAGTGGTGGAGCTCACTCCCATGACTCACAGCTCCCTTGAAACTCTCCACCCTTTATCTACCTGAGTCACTAAAGGCCCCAGGCCTAGCCCAGGCCTTGACTGATTAAATGACAGGATAGCCCTCAATCCCAACCAAGTGTCCTCTTCCCCCTACCTCCCACCCCCCACCAACCATGTGTCCCCTTTTCCCAAAGGCAGTTCTGCATAAAAGCCCCCATTTGGTTCTGCTTTGTGGGGCAGAGGAAACCTTTAGGCAAATTGTGTCTATGAATCTGCAGAAAACTCAGAGGAGAGAAGTTTAGAGCAGAGGAAGAAGAATAAAGAAAAAAATAAGTATCCCTTCAAAAAACTTTTATCTGTCAATATACGGATGCTAAAGTGTCCTCAACAGCAGTGAGAGATCAGCCACCTAGTGCCAAAGGCTTTAGGGCCCAAGGGTCATTTCAGGGGCAACCTAAGGGGACAGCTAGCACTTCTGCCTCCCCAGTACCTAGTCCTTACATTATCTTCTTCACTCTGTCAGTGAACCCATCAACTCTCCCTTCCTGGTGGAGTGACCAGAAGGAAAAGAGCTTTAGGATAGGATTTTCTATCCAGTGGGATAACACAGAGGATAGAGAAGGTTCATCCTTCCTCCTTGCCCTGCAAGTGACTCCACCACCTCCACAGACACCACTGTCTGGCCTCAAGTAGTATCAATGATGCTGATGCAAGGGGAGCCCAGAAAAAGGAAGATGCTGAATGGGAAGCCTGGGGGGAAGGTGGAGCAGTCAGGGTAGGTTCCCTGACAGGTAAGGAGGCATTCACAATCTGAAAGAAAAAGAACCTTTGCGTTAGGGTTAGGGAAACCTATTCCTGACAAAGTCCTAGTTTTTGCCTTTTCTGACCCTTCCCCTCCCCTACACACACACACACACCCAAGGGTCCCAGGAGAAGGGAATATTTTACTTTCCACTCTCTTCCTCCTATGCAGAAGGAAGGAAAGTAAGCAATCCTCAGGGGATCCAGGATTCCTTTTACCCTGGTCTGGGAGAAGGCAGAAGAACAAAAGCTGAGTCTCAGCCATCTTGGTCTTGTTTAACCCAACCTATAACAGCAAAGAAGAGGGCCAAAGAAACTCACTTCTCCTTAGTAGCTTACCCCATTCAGAAATTCAGTTTTCCTCAGAATGATGGATCAATGAGATCCTGCTCCCAAGGAGATGAAATAATCTAGGACTATCTCCTCCCCTGCCGCCATCATCAAACTAATTTTACCAAATAGGAGTAAATCCCACCTCAAACCTATTGCCCTCTCTTCCAAGGCCATGCCTGTGCTGTCCTCAGGCCAGTTTCACTAGTCATCATCCAACTCCTTGCTTGTTCCAATCTAGTTCTACTCTCTCCATGGTAGAATTTAAGGGTAGAATAACAACCTGTTTAGGGGAGAACCCAGAGATGCTACCTGGGTTACTATCTTGACTTTGAACAAATTATTTCTTCTCTCTGGGCTTGTTTCCTCATCTTTAAAATAGGATGTTGGACTAGATAATCACACCTTACATGTGTATAATATACTTCGAAAAGCGTTTCACTAATCATTATCTCATTTGAAACTTACCACAATCCTAAAAGATAAACAGGACAAGATACCAATTATTCTCACTTTATACATGATGCCTAAAGGGCCCTTCAAGCTCTAAATTCTGTCATACTCTAACTTACCCATTGCCTAACAAGATATTCAGTACTGCCTGTCCCTCCCCAGCTAAAAAAAGTAGACATCTAGGTAAACCGGCTCAATCCCACCTTCCTCCTCCTCTAGTAAGGGGCCATGCTGCTAACATTGTCTAACAAGGTCTCTGATGCCCTGCCTGTTTGGGCAAACTGTACTTTCCCCAGAGGCTTCTGAACCTGGTAAAGCCAGGCTATCACTACTCTCTTCCAGTGACCCCCCTTCCCCCAACAAGAAAGCCAGAAAATCTGTCTGCCCTAGGCCCACCCTCTCTTTAAGAGACAGTCGGGGAAGCAGTGTTGCCATGGCAATCTGGTCGTCCTCATCAGGCCTCAGCCTGTTCTCCCCACCCCCCACCAACCTGCCCCCCCTTTGTTTGGGCAGTTTTGTCATGTCACTGACACCACAGGCTGCCTTACACATACATCATTCATCTCCTCCAAAGCAACTCTTGCCCCCAGCTAGAACCCCTCCTCATACCCCACCCCCAATCCAGAAAGGGAAAATCCTTTATGCCCTTAGGGAAGAGCCTTCAGTATTATACCAGTCTCCACAGGGATCCAAGAGAGCTCACACCAAGGGTAAACAGTGCTGAACGTTACAACCAGCAGTGGTTCTTGCTCTACTGGGTAGGTGGGAGGAGAGAAGAGTTTGTCAAAAAAGAATGCAACTTCCTTCCTATAGCTGAAATTGAGAGCCCACCTCTCTTCTAGGACTCATGTTCTAAGGGAAAAGAACCTTTGCACTTACAGAACATAAGCTTCAATGTCTCTCACGAGGGCCCAGGACATCCCAGAGGGTGGGACTGAGTGAGTATTCAGCAAGCGGTAGAGGCCTGGTTTCTACCCAGAGAGTTCCTGGCCTGGAGATGTTTGCTATAAAGAGAAGGGTTTGGCCCTGTGGACACAGCTTGGTAGTATGGAAAGAGTACTGGATTTGGGGCCAAAAATACTGGGTTTGAATCCTAGCTTTGCCATTTTCTACCTGTATGACTTTAGGCAAATCATATAACTTCTCTAGGCCTCAGTTTCCCCATCTGGTAAAATGAGGGGAGGGGTGGTTCTAGATGACTTCTAAGGGTTTCCTTCTGTCTGTAGATCCATTGATCTGTTACCAGGGTCTCTGGGCCCCAAACACCTGAAAAACAAAGCTTGCCCAGGGAGGGCAAGAACCAGCCAAGTCCCAGGCAAGGAAGGAAGTGGGAAGTGAACACACCCAGAACAAAGGGGCAGGGCAAAGGAAGGCCAGGGACAGGGGGCAGGGAAGATAGGGACCAAGGCAGACATCAGTGAGGAACAGACAATGGGGGTTGAGGGAGGCTCTTAAGATGACCTGGGTGGGATTGAGAGTAGGACCAGGTAGAAAATGGAGGTCGACAGGAGATGGGTGAGGAACAGAAGTTGGGCAGGTGAGAGGGAAAGGGCTCCCTAGAGATACCATGGACTGAGAAAGAGACTTTAGTCATTACTGGATAATCTCACAGTTGGCAGAAATGATCATCCTCCAGGCCTTATTTAGGGCATATTAACAGGGTTCCCCCAGGGGCAACAGGTCTCACCCATGTGAGAACTCAGCACCCCCCAAGGCGGGTGGGGCTTTGTGCTGAAAGCATCTTCTCCCTCCCTGGCCGGGGGTTCCATGAGTACTGGGAGCTGAGGAGAAAGCAGGGGCACTTTGTGGGCACAAACTTGCTAACTTCCACTACTGCCCATTACCAGGGTCCTACAAACCAGCCCTCACCCTTTCACTCCAGATGTATCCCTCCCTCAATTTCTCTTCTACTTCCCTCTTCCTTCTACAGAGCCCCTTCATTTTTCTCATGCACACACTCCTGCCTCCCTACTATTTCTTGTAAATTCCAACATATGGTCTCTTATCTCTAATCACAAAATACTCTCATACTGCTCTGCCCCTTCTGACATACTCCCTAACTCTCTACCTCCCTCTCTTGTGCTATAAAGCCCTCCCCTTCCATGCCAAACCTAACTTAGTTCCCCTCTTTCTCACACAAAGGAATCCCTTGTCTTCATACAGTGTTGTCCCAAAGGATCTTCCACAGGTTTATCCTTCCACCTTACAGAGTCACATATCCACCCCAAGCAAACTTCAC